TCTCTTCAGGACAACCTTCCGGGTAGTTTCCTGCCCCCACTGTTAAAATTAATCTCAAAATGCCTAACATCAGAGGCTGCCTGTGTGTCATTGAAGCACCCAGATATCTGCAGTCTGGTCTTTTGATCCCCTGATTCATCCCACCTCTTCCCTCTCATCTGCTGAGTCATGGAGATCTCCAACCGGAGCAAACCACATCCTTATCCTTTCATCTCTGCTTCACCTTTACCTCTCACAGCGGCCCTCACTTTGTGGACGTCACTAAATCTAGGTTGACTTTTGCATGTTAAAAAAAGAATCCCCAACATCCGCACTATACTGTATCCTTTATATGTGTGTGTGTGCGTGCGGGGGGGGGGGCAAACTGTCCTTTGAATTTTACTTTTAAGTCTGTGTTCAAAAGAACATTGTATAAGCTCCGCATCATGTGGGAGAGAGGGTTTCTGCCCATCGAACCCAGTATGAACCCAGGAGATGCGACCGGGCCAGGACGTGGTCAGTTCTGTCCAGACTCAGTACTGCCACCCCCCCCACTGTAATGAAAACTGCCTTTTATTCGCAGACCAGGATACAGGAACTGTTACAATAAACACCGCCTGAAGAGCATACAATCTAATAAGAAAAGGGACTGGGTTGGACATCGGTGACCGTTAATGAAATCAATCCCTCCTTCCTGCTGGCCTCAGAGAGGACAACAATGAAATGTGTCTTTGTGTAAGAAAGGACATGTGACAATAGTGTTTCATCAATGTTTGGTGTCACACAACAGATGAAACCCATCTTTTTGGGTTAATTGTAGAAAGCTATTGCAGGAGAACAAGTGTCAAAGGAAGACAGGAAGGGGTGGGCAGGGTGGTCTAATTTGGACAGATCCCTCCACCACCACATTAAAGATACAAAAAAGATCAAACAAACCCAGGCTTGTACTTCTTATTCTCAAACATCCTACAGACTTTTCACCCACTCTTTTTAAGATTCCCTTTTTCTAAGCACAAAGTCGTGCAGCCAGAATTCAAACTGATCCACCGAGCTCTAGTACCCAAAAGTTCAAGGACTTATAAACATATTGAATTGGTCCAGTCTGTTCTATCCCTGTGTTCCTTAAGCTACTCAAGCCAGGAACTGAAGAAAGGCGTGCTCAGTTATTCCATACATGTGCTCTGACGCTCCATCCCAAAGTTAAAGAAACTACCAGCCATCCAACCTTATCACGGGTTCTGAGCCACGACTGCTTCATCGTCACTTCAAAAGTCTATCATCTTTGTTAATATGTGGTGTCAATCTTCTTTTCTCTTATTGTGTTTCCGATAACGTGTCAGATAACTTGATGACTGTTTTGTCAAAGAACATGCTAAAAAAAAGTACTTAACTGCTTTAACAATAAGTAATCAAACATCAATAAGACAAATGCAAACAAGCTCACTTCTTCAGTATCTCCACCTTTACTACTCCTCTGAGGCACAACTACATATTGGGAGGACTGGGGTTGCAAGAGGGGAGTGAAAGAAAAAAAAACTAGAAGAGGTGAGGTATTTAATTCCATGTGGGTGGCCTGATAAAAACAAAGTCAGTCATAAATCTGAAGCTATAAACACTGTGCTTTTAGACCTAATCCATGCAGATCACTGTAAAAAACCAACCTGTCTGTCTTCTTCTGTCTCCCATTAGCACTCCAGCTAGCATCCCCATTAACCCTGTACCGACCTCTTCTACACGTCAAACAGTAATGTATGACATATGAGAAATTATTTTATGCAAACCAATTTGTAAAACAGAAGTGCTGTGAGTCGACAACTGGCAATTGTTCATGTCAGGATATTCAACTAAAGTAAATACAAACACATGTTAATATGACTGGCTATCATTTTCTAGCTACCAAATATTTGTACTGAATAATTGGCCAGATCCATAACTGTATTTATTCTGATAATATTGATGGTTAGGTGCAAATGTTGGTCACATTAGGCCATTTATTTATTACATGACAATACATTCCTCTTCCATGAAGTAACTGTTAAGCGACCAGTGGAGAAAGGAAAGAAAGGCTATATTCCTGCTGCCAGATAAAGTGGAAACTATGCCAACAGTAGTGGGAACAGACACACACAAACTCATTTGTCAAGAAAATGACAACATGTGTGTCATATTTGAATTTCTCTACCAAACAATAGACTTTGTTACAGCACCATTTGTTTAAATATAATTGGGACACTGACTAGACGAACTGCAGATGATACATTTGGACAAAACTATGCAAGAATATAAATAAAGCCAATACTCCTTTAGGTTTTATGTTTCAGTAGGGGTGTCAACTCTCTATTATTTAGAAATATATACCGTTAAAATAATATTTTAAAACTAAATTCTCATATTCTCATTTACAGATGTCTTTTTCTAAGGTTAAATAATCCAGGCTGAGGACCCTAATATTTGGGAAAACAACATTCACTTTAAAAGTTATATGATTTTGTATAGTGAAGCAGAAAAGGTAAACATGTTGAGTCAATTTAAGCCTTATGGTTTATTGATTCACAATAAAAATGGCCATTAAGATTCAGATGAACTAAAAATATGTATTTTCTACCATCGTATCCACTTACATCTCATTCCCTCACTCCCCCGCCTTCCACCACCATTTCATTCTTCAACCCTCAGTTCTATTTTAATCCTATCACTTTCTTTTTTTTAAAGCAGCAAGTGTTTCCTTCCAGCTCTCTTCTTTTCTCCCCCATTAGTCTGTCTCTCTCTCTCTCTACCTGACATTTGGCTCTGCAGCCTGCCTCACACCAAGACAAACGTTATGACCTCACGTCACTGCAATGTTCCAGAGACACAGACAGAGACAGCAAAGAGCAAAATAAGATGACATTGAGGAGGAATTATGGGGAACTAATATATAAAAATTAGGATGGGTATAAGCTGAAAATGTTACATACTTATAGTAAGCATCTCAGTGTCTCTCTCTCTTAGTGGACGGATAACAAGGGAGAAAATGTCAAAAGGCCAAAGAGGAATAGCAAATTAGCAATAAAACAGACAAAGATCCAATTAATGAGATATTTTTCTGTAAGAAAGTGGGCATTGTGGTGTGGTTGAAACGAGCAAAAATCCAGTCACCACAGAAGGTTAAAGCTTGTTCTTTCTTTCTTTCATTCCCTTTCTTTCTTTCTTTCCTTCAACTTGTCTGCGCTCCATTTTAGCTTGGCACAGTTGTCATTACATTCAGTCCAAATTACACACACACCTTCCCTGTTCACCAGAGCTGCGGGCCAGTGCTTTAAACACAGCATGTTGGCAAAACTCAGGGTTTGAACAAGCCATTGATAGATTCCAGACAAACAATATGCACACGCACGCACACACACAGACAGACAGAGAAAGAAGAAGGAGGAAACCATTTTATCACACACACACACACACACACACACACACACACACACACACACACACACACACACACACACACACACACACACACACACACACACACACACACACAATTCTGGACATCATCAAACACTTTAGTAACCACAACAACTTCCCATTTCCCTAAACCTATTTCCTGTACTGGTGAGGTCCCTTGTCAGCAACTGCTACTGTCACTACGGCAACAAGGAAGGACAATGGCCCTGAGGAGTAAAACAATGAAGACCAAGGCAATAGATGGAAGTAATATCAATGAGCAGCAGAGCAGCTTTGCAAGAGGATGTAGAGTCAATGGCAATAAGCTAAACCTTCATATGTTTTGGTCCACACTACTTTCACAGTAACAAACCATCTACAGGAACAGCTGGCCTCACAACCAGAGCAGAGGGCTGCAATATAGAGTTGCGATAAAGAAAGAAGTCATGACAATGAAAGCATAGCCTTGGATGATGTGTCTGCAGTGGAACCTTTTCACCTGAGCTCAGACAAGATGATAATCCCAATGTTGTTTTTACTTTCTCCACACCTATTCAGAGTCACACTCATGTCAGTATAATGATTTTTGACTCCGGGAAAAGACCTCCAGTAGAGGTAACGTCTGAGTGTGCCGCACAAAGAGGTGTGTTATGAGTAAAGGTTGCGGAGTATGGCTATGAGTGTAATAACTAAATTGCATTAATGTTTGTACTTATGTGTTTGGATTTAACTTTATTCAGGTTTTGATGTTAGTCTAGTTTAATTGTACAACGTTTCTAGCATAATGTATGTTATATACATTATATTTTACCCAGTGGTGGTTTAAATAACATAAATGCATGCTCAAAATTGTTATGTATATTTATGATGATATTGATTATTGGTCCCAGCCCAATCATTTAACATTTGAATTGCTATGACATAACAAGCCAGAAATGTCCCAATGTTTAGACACTATTGAGTAAATACAGCATCACAGACACATCCACACACACTATGTTTAGACAAACTGCTTATTAAAACCCCTCTCTAAGACTCTATGATTCTGGCAAATAGACAATCGATACTGGATGAAGCAAATAGATGAAAACAGAACCACACCGGGCCTTGGTACACTCCCAAATGCCCTTTGTCTACGATTTGTTTAATCAAACTAATAACATCCTCTGAAGCTTGTTTAAACTGTTCAGCTTTTAATGGCTTCTGTATTGTAGTGCTGCTCCCAAATGCACTCTGAAATTTATTATATGGGTCCTTATTCACAGCACTTCACAAAAACGCAGACACATACATTCACACTTGGTTGCAGCTATGAAACTATAAGAATAACAGTGCAGGACAACATGATGGGCAGTTTAAAGACAACTGTATTACCTAAAAAAACATCTAACTTTACACTATACTTATATTCTCACCTTATTTAAAACATCGAACAAAGGCCAACCACTCATCACTTACACCTTTTTTTGAGTGTCATTCAAACACAAACCCAATGTAAAACTATAAATCATCGGAACTCAAAGAAAACAAAAGAGCATTGGACACGCCAGCCTGGCACACACTCACACATGGCATTAAAATGTTTAAAATTGACTCACCACTCTGGGCTTGGTCTTCTGTGGGATAGCCGTGGAAGCAGTGTCCTCTTGGCTCTTCTTCTGTGGTGCAGCTTCTGTAATTCCACTTGTGCTGTTGTCGCTGGGCACCTCTAAGGCAGACACCGAACCGTCTGCTCCATCCCTAGCCGCTGGTAGAGGCCCTGGGCCCTCAACAGTGCTCAGTTCAAGAATATATTTATGGGTAACATCCTCCAGTGATGGGGCCACATCCCCTGGAGGCTTACTCGAGGTCTGAGGGTCTTCAGTTGGGTGGGCAGCACGGCAGTCCACTTCTTTCAGTGGCTGGAGTTGTGGAGGAGGGGAGATGGGGATAAAGCTGGTGGGTTCACTGGCATGGCGGACATGCTTGGGTCTGCTTTTGGGTTTAGAATGCAGTGTTGGAAGGGGAGGAGTAAGGTCGGTTTGGTAGCTGTGATCCTCCTGCTCTTCTGAACACATTTCTGGGGGCTCAAATGGATCTTCAAGAGGGGAAAAGTGGGTCGGCCTGTTTGGACGCTTTCTGGTGGGCCTACGAACCATTCTAGGGGACAAAACCCCAGCCAGCTTCAGGTTAAAGTTAAACTTCTGAACTTCTTCCTCCTCCTCCTCCTCCTCTGCCCCTTGGTCTATAACATCATCTTCTTCATTATCATGGTTATCGGATTTGAGGGTACATTCTGACTTGGAACGAGCTTTCTTGACTATTTTTACATTTGGCAATGTGTAATCAGGCTCCACTTCTGGCTCCCACAGTTCCTTTCTCTGCTCGCTCAGGATAGGCTCACTGCTGGAAGGTGGGATCTGACCAGGTTGATCTAGCTCACCGATAGGCTGAGTGCTGCCAATCTGACCTTTGAATTGAGGGTCATTCTGGGAGAGTAAAGGAGCATCACTACGGCGACTGGGGTCACTCAACGACTTCTTCTTCGGAGCTTTGCCATTGCCATGATCATCTATCATCAGTCTGTCCATTGCACCTGGCTCGGCTACGATGCTCCTGATCACCCCACTGTAGTCACGAACAGCCTCATCCCGGATGCCGCCATCACTGTAAACTGACAAGTCACTGGCCACACTGCCCTTGTATTCTGACAAATCGGACCCCTCTGTAGCACCTCCTCCTCCTTTGACAGATAAGGATCCCAACAGGTTGCTGTCTACAGAGGAATAGTTGTTATTCCCTTCTTCTGACACTGAACAGCGCCGCTGAGGCATTGGGTCACTGAGAGAGCGGTAAGTGGTTGACTCGCCATTACCAACAGCTGCTATTGCAGACTCTGCATTACTGCCATTACTGGAATCAGAGCCTGTGTTATTACCAGAAGGGGAGAACTTGCGCCTTCGACGGACAGAACTTGGTGTCGCAGGGGCTTCCAGTCCACCTCCTCCTGCAGTGCCTGCTGACCTCTGCAACACTGCACAGTTGGTGGTGACCTCTTCAGTAGTAGTGTCAACATTGTTGATACCAGCATTGCTGCTCAGATCCACGATGATGCAGTCACTCTCAGCCATACCGCCAGGATGAGCCAAGGAGGGAGATACACTGACTTCTTCATTAGGACTATTTGTGCATTTCATGCTGTTCTCCGCAATCTCTTCTGTCTCCGGCTTTAACCCATCCATCTCATGTAGAGCCGATTGCTTCCATAAGGTGACGGGCTGCCCTAGCACATCCCTAGCAATTCGTGACCCAAAATGAACCCCTGCTGACCCCAGGAATGAACTCTCAGAAGGGTCACTCGGGCCTGTCTCTGGCTCTGTTACAATCCCTTCATCTGTTAAACTGGACTCATGGCCTGAAAGTTCATCCACAGAGCGGTCGTAGAACATGCTTTCCTCTGAGTTGCCCTTCGGTAAAGCTCTCTCCGTCTCTCTGCTCTGTCTCTTTGCCTTCTCCCTGTGCTCTGTGCCCCTGCTGTTTAGCGTCTCCAACTGCATACTTTGTCCATCCCTCTCACTCCTCTCCCTCTCCCTGTTCTCTCTCTCCCTCTCATGTTTATCCCTGTCTTTTGTGTTATTAAACTCAGTCTCTTGATCTGTCCTAGCCTTATCCTTAATGCTCACTCCTGCCTTCTCCTTCTCCTCATTTGTTTTCTTGAACTTGAAAGATTCATCCTCCAAATCATCTTCATCTTCTCTAGTACTCATCTGGCAGATATCTCGAATGACCTGTCTGGCTTCCTGCACATACTTCTCCTGCAATGGAGTTGGCATCCCTTCCTCACTCTCGTCACCAAATCCATAATCTCTCATTCTTCGTCCTTTCCCAACCCTAAAATCACCCCCATCACTTTCTACTTCCCTTTCTGACACAGACACCCTCCCTCCATCACCCTCTCCATCCAAATCAAGCTGCTGCTCAGAGGAGCTCCTTTTTGTGGCGCCACCTGTCAAGCAACACCTTACTGCTGCTTTGGGTTTGTCTGAATAAGTGAAGGATTTGGCGCGCCGCAGGGTCGCAGTCAGGTCTTTAAGTGTCGGCCGACAACCTGAAGGTAGCAGGGTCCCACCTTGAGTCCGTGAACCCATCCTGTAAACTGGTGACCCTTCAACGACCCCTGGTTTATCTCCACTCTTTTTCCGCACTTTAAGCTCTGACAGATCAGATTTCAAAAAGCTCAAAAGGGACATCGTTTCTAAGGTGATATCAGGGTTGGACATGGATGTTTGGTTTTGATCATTATCATCTACCCCACCTGTTGTCCTTCTTAAATTGATGGTCTCACCATCCCTAACCCCTGCTGATACTACGCTGTCTTTGGAAAGTTTACTAGAGGGGGTGACTGTAGGCACAGTATTGGGGCGCACCCATACAGGGGGATGGGAGAAGTTATCCCCATGGCCAAAGCTTGGGGAGCGATACATCGTTACATTTCCATGGTAAGTTTTACTCAGCATGGAAGAGGATGCAGCTCTGCTAGCGGGGCCTGCTTCTTTGTCTGTGTTAAAAAACATATTTGCTGCACTGTTGGCCGAGCCAGGCTGGTCCTCCTCCTTCAGTGTCTCAGTGCTGGAGTATCGGCTGCTGCAATGCGAACCACCAGGACTGGAAGCAAATGGGGGAATGTTGACCTTTGACACTCGAGATACACCAGGAAGTGTTGTGGACGTCGCAGTTGAGGAGATGCGCTCCCATTGCTGCACCCTGGCTCTGTTACTGTTATTTTTCTGTTCTCTTGCTGAGTGGCTCCGAGATACTGTTCCTGCAGAAGCTCCACATGTGTTTTGCTGGCGGTGCCTCTCTAAGTGCTCCATTGTCAAGGCTGTGTCACTGTCAGTGTCTTCTGATTCGCCATCATGATCATCACGGCCTGTTGCAACAGCAGCTCCACTGACCTTCTTTTTTTTTCTCAATGATCGTCGTCGCACTGCCTCTCGACTGTGGGGGCCTATAGAACCAGGGCTGTCCTCTTCACTGCCTGAAGACTTGCCAATGCCCTTAGCACCCCACCAGCCATTTTTACTGCGGGATAAAGAGTTACTTCCTCTCTCAGTGCCACACTTTTCACCTGCTTTGTATGAGATGGAAGGAGCAGGGCCGGAAGGAACATTCCAACCGCCTCCTCCAACTCTTCTTCTTCTGGTGTACTCCTCGTCTTCGTCTCCAGAGCTGAACCTCCAGCGGGAGCGGAGGGGGACAGCTACTTTAGCTGGGGCTTTAAGCTTGGTGGAAGGAGCTACAGTAGAGGAGGAGGAGGTAATGGATTTGTCTGGAGTTGGAGCAGAAAAGGGGGAGGAGGAGGTGGGGGCTAGCGCTCTAGAGGAGCTATGTGAGGAATGTAAACTATCCCTGGGCAGCCCGACCCCCTGTCTATCCCTTCTCTCCCTCACTGAGGACCGCTGAAGAGAGGAGGAGGCGTCCAAGCTTTCCGATTGACTCCAAGACGAAGTATCAGGGGGTTGAAGGTCAGGGCTGGGGTCAGATGTCAACACTGTTGTCCTATGGGTCTTATGGGCAGCTTCTGCCTCAGGGCTGGGACTATGAGATCTGTATTGAGATGGGTTAATCCTCTGGTAGTGACTACCCTTAGTGCAACTGTGACTGCTACTGCTTTGAAAAGTATTTCTGCCAGAAATGTTGTTGTTATTAGAAGTTTGTATCTCTAAGTCAGCCTCCTCCTCTTTGTGTGAGTACTGCTGGTTGTAAGCTTTGGGATAAAGGTCCATACTGTGACAAAGAGTGTCTTTAGCAGGGCTGTTTTCTCTGCTTTTTGCTCCACCTATGCATTTGCCATGCGAAGACAGGCAACAGAGTTCTTTAGCGGAGCTGCAAAGCGAGAGTTTGTCACTTGTATCTGAGAGAGAAACACTCTCACTGGGGCTGAGTTCCTGTAGATTTCCTCTGTCAGCTGCTTTTAAATTCTCATACGAGTCAGTATTGTGCTGCTGCGTAGCATTGCCTTGTCCTTCATCAAAGATTTGTCTAATTTTAGTGACACTGGGCCACTTGTCAGAGTGCAGAGGAATAAATTCAGTGTGACGTGTAGAGAGATAGCTTTTGTGAGATTTACAGGGTGAGGGAACCCCTCTACTAACAACATCATCTTCCTCATCTGTAGTCAAAGTATTTCTGGGATCAGAGGGACATGCATTGATCTGTGAATAATCTCTCTTACCAGAATTGTTGTCGGTGGATAAACGTGAAAAAATCCCCTTCTCACATTTCTTCTCCAAGTCCGAGCCTGACACCGAGTCAGTGTCTGAGTGAAACTTTTGCACTTTATTGTCTGTCAATGTCTCAGCAGTAGTGGTATCACTAACGTGGAAATATTCACCACTGCTGTCCTCGTGAAAAGATTTACGAGAAGCAGACCCGTCTCGCCTGGAACAACTTTCCCGGGGAAGAGTGCTTCTCCCCCGCGTCACAGCTCCACAGTCCCCCGGTGAGGCTCTGTGCGTCTCTGCAGAGCTGCTGCTGCTGCTAAACTTCTCAGTGAGCTGTCGGATGGATGGAGAAATAGAGGAGTGAGGAGTGGAGGAGCCTCTCTTTGGGTCTGCGGTCAGGAGGCCGGCAGTGGTGGTGGCAGAGATTTTGGAAACTTTTCTTGACACACTGACATTACGCGTCGCCAAGGGCTGTTCTGCTTTGCTGGGCTCCGGGGGAAGGGCGACACCAGCTGCCTCCAAATCGTCTGATTTGTGTTGTTGGTCTTCACTCCTGTTGGTGCTCCAGGAACCCAACTTTTTGAAAGAGACGCTGCGATAAACAGCGGCACTTTTCCTCTCTCTTTCTGCCATTGTTCATGTCGTTCTTTGTTAGAGTTCACACAAGCATTTTCCCTCCACGGATATTACAGCTCTAGGCACCTTGTTGAGTTGTGGTCCATTTTCCCACACCTAGCATGCAACAATCACTATTTAAAACGTAAACGTAGATAGTGTTGGCAACGCTTCAAACTGCACTGTAACGATGTTAATCAAACGATAAATTTTTCAGTGAGTAGCCTAGAGTGCTGCTCTGTTATCAACACTTACATGTTGTCGATTCCCGAAACCGCATCCGTGCAAGGAGGAAAAGCGCTACAACATTTGTTGGCCAAAACTTTCCCAACCTGTTCACAAACACAACGTTTCCATTGTTAATCCCTTACTATGTCTGAGCCCTTCGCCAGGTTAGCACGCCTGCACGGGCCTGACGCATCATCCACTGTTAATTCCCCAAAGCTGTTTGTGGATTCCTTATTTTGGCATGATTTGGTTTTCCGTGTGTTCTGTTGTTTTTTGCATGTTAATGCCTGAGATAGGGCAGAGGGGGTGGGCGGGACTAGGGGTATAGGGGCTGTCATAGCCCCCTCGGGGATTGAGAGGAAAAGCTTTTTTTCTCTTTTTGATAGGAGAAGGCAGACACTGTGGACAAACTAGATGTAATTATAGCCCTTTCCCTTGCGAACAAGACAGAAGCACTGTCAGGAGTTTTAGACAGAAAACTACATTTTAAGAGTATCATTGTGGACCTGCAGCTGTTTTGTTAATATCCCAAGATCTTAGCTCATCAACACACCTTTGATTGTGAATATAAAATCACTATTACTGTCTGTTGAAGTAAAGGTTCTTAGAGAAAGCCAGAGTATTATGTAAAATGCAAGCTATATTAGTTCTGCAGCTAAAAATCCATTCATGATGTTGTTGGTGAATAAGAGTGTCAGCATTGGAGGGGGGTAGAAAAACAAAGAAAAAGTTTGCAGTCATGCACAATAAAGCCTCTGTGGTGCTTCCCATGTGGCTGTCTGGTTAACAGGTCCTTTTGTTCCAGAGAGGAATTCTGTGTTACATTCCCTCATAGGAGTAGAGCTTACTGCAGCGCCCTCCACAGGCTGACCTGGGACCTGTCAGGTCACTGGGGTAGATCATCTCTAAACACTTTAACCAATTAATCGTGTTAAACTGCATGCATCATATTACTTTCCACTGCATATTCACCAATTGATGTTGTATTTGTTCAGCTCTCATTCAGATTTTGGGATATGCTTTTTTTCTTAATATTTTCTAAGGAAATCTGTAACTGTCATGTTGCAAGGTGAAATTGTGTTAAACTGTAAAATTTGAAATTTGACTTGTGTCAGGAAAGCTTCAGGTTTCAGTCCAGGAAGAATTGAGAAGTAAGAAGAGCAACCAAAACAATTATCTTTTAATATCAACCTATTAGATGTATTATGTACAAAGTTAATGATTGTACTTTCTGGTGAAATAGAGCTTTACAGAGGAGTGTCACAGTTCATGTTGAGTGTGAAAAGGACAATATAAAAAAACACTTTTATCTGGAGGAAGTAGTACAAGGCATTTGTGTTATGCTGTGTGACTTTTTTTAATTCCATTATGACAACATCCATTTACACAAGCAACTCAATGGGATGCATGGTAGTAAGAAAAATAATAGACATAAAAACACAATTTCTACTTGTTCCTCAACATAATTATATCTATTTAACAAAAATAAAATCTATTCCTGATACTGTGGTACGGTATTACGAACACAAAAATAACTATTCTAAATAATACTGTCTGACACAAATATTTTGGCACAGTGCAAAGACGTCATAAAAGACAAAGACACACACATATTTCAGACTGATGCAGAAAAAACATTAGACTTCGAAAATATTCATCCAAACAGACACACAAACAACAAGACCTGTGCATTCACTTAATGCTGTAGCCATGAGCGTAACATACAGTATACTATATTACTCAATATGCATTCTGCACACATACACATCATTATGAAGCTCTTATTTAGGTAGATGATCTCATATTTTGGGTCATGGAAATAACATGTTCACATTAAACAATATACACAACATTTCTTCCCCCCATGGGTGCAAAACTTAAACAGTTGCTGCAGTGTTTAAGAAGTAAAGCTGCCAAAATTATATATTTTAAAGTTCATAAGTTGTTGGCACTTTTAGGATTTCTTTAGTAATTTCATTCAACTTCAAAATCAGATTGTCAAATCAGAGAGAGTGAGATGAGCTTCTGATCTCAGGTCTGAGAGAGTTTGATGCAAGATTTGGGTTACAAATACTCCTGCAAAAGTAATCAGAAAAACAAGTGCAAGATAAAAAAAGAAACTTAACTTAAATTAAATTTATGTTCATTTCATGAACGCTCACATCTCATTAACTTGGTATAACTCCAACTGTCAAATCTGTACAAACTATTTACATGCACTGTAGAGAACCTCTTTAAGAGCAAAGTTCCTTTTGTTAAATGTCGCTTTTCCTTTTATACCACCAAACGTTTAACTGCAGAGGCAATTTCTTGGAAAATAAATACGAATTTCATGGGAAGGTTTCACACACTAACAGGAAGTTGAAATCTGCAGGGTTGAGCCCACATTTAGACCCTGCCCTTAAAGTAGCATCTAATGCATCTGATAACAACTCCTAAATGTTTTAACATTAGCACAACTCACTGGATCATTGTAAACACACATGGAGAACACTGTAGACTGATGTCCTGTTGTACTGTGGTATGAGCTGGATAATAAAGTGTTGTTGGCATCAGTTTATCTCTGGATGTACTGTAGTGACTAAGAATGTATCCTTACTGGAAAACATGTTAATGACCTTACCATTTATAGAAAGAACAGAGCATTTAACTGCAGTGTGATTACAGCACTGTGGTTCAAACAACATCCAGTGGTGAAAAGAGGAAAAAACAAGTCCTTTAGGGGAAGCACAGGAGAAACCTTCATTAGAAAGTCTAATTCGCTATATTAAAAGGAACATTTCCTCACACAAGTGCTTCATGCAATTCTACCATGCAGTCATATATAAACATATGCTTTGAGCATTTTACATGGCTTTGTGTCCTTTTTCAAAATCATCTTTTCGGGCCTGCTCAAGTGGAAGACACCCCACGTCTTTTCACGTAAGAGCAATATTATTAGATCTATATATTTTATACTGCAGCTCACAGTTTGTAACAAAATAGTACTTACAAAACACAATAAAGAAAGAGAGTAAACATTTCACAGATAATGAAAATGCAGACTGTGACTGCGTGTTCTGCTGACAGCACTTCTCTGCTACAATATTCATTAACTTAGTTGTGCCCCAAATGCCAAATTTCCTCATTGAAATACACTGTGGTGGTCAATGCAAACTCAAGGTTTTATAGGTAAGAGAATATGGATTTTTAATTTCAGGTCTGGTAATTTCTCTTTTCTCAGTTTGTTTCTTTCTCATACAACAAGATTTCAACCTTCATTTCAAAAGTCTTATTGAAATACCAGTGCATTTTAATATTTTCGACCCTCTGAGGATGGTATGATTCTTTGTTGCAGTGAGTTGTTGTTAAAATCACATAAGGTCTTGCTTCAGAACATGCACAGGGAAACCCAGCAACCACTACATGTACCACTTTACATCCTCACAGGATCCACCACAGGTGAATAGCAGGAAGGCTTTATCGCACTCTCACACGCTGGTGCCCTTGTCTCTGAGGGTGGTGACTTTGCGCATAAACCTTCTGGTGCTCTGGCGATAGCGTGGCTGAGTGAAGTAAAACAGAATAGGGTCCAGAAAGCTGTTTATGCTGGCAAACGGCCGGGTGCTTTTATAGATGATGGAGAACAAGTTTCTAGTGTTGCAGGGCGCCGCGGGCAGGGTACGCACCACCAGGTACATGGTCTTTGTGAGGTGAAACGGCAGGAAGCTGATGCAGAACACTGTTGCCACAATGATGATCAGCTTCACCGCCTTGTCCCTCTTCTCCCCGGTCGCCCTGGAAACCCCTTGGTAGGACACCGGGCGGCAGAGGACCTGGGCCATGCGAAAGTAGCACACCATCACACCCATGAAGGGCAACATGAAGCCGAGGCAGGTCAGAGCCATGCCGTACGGATAGTAGGCCAGCGAGTTCTTTGGCGTGCTCAGATCATAACACACCGTGCGGTTCCTCTGGATCCCCGTGGCGGCAAAGTGAAACGTCGGAGCGCACAGGACGGCGACCACCAGCCAGACTCCTCCACAGATACACCACGCCAGCCTGCGACCGCCCTGCTTTTGCCACATCGCCATTGGATGGCAGATGCCCACATAGCGCTGCACACTGATGCAGGTGAGGAAGAGGATGCTGCCATGCAAATTACTAGAAAAGGTATAAAGGGGAAAAACAGTTAGGTTAAATCTTTTTAAAAGTCACCTGTTATACAAAATCCACTTTTTCATGTATTTTATACATAAACATGTGTCCCCTCAGACATTCTGAAAGTTTCAGGAAAAAAGATTGGCTCACTTTTTGTCCTGATCCATTTATATAAAAACCTCTCTGAGAAGGAGCTGATCAGATTTTGGCCACTTTATGATGTCATTACAATTTTTTGGCTTGTGTAACCATTAGCCAATCACCAACCAAGGTACCCCCCTCCTCCTAGAGCAACATTGTGTTCTTTTTAACCAAATATCTCTCAGAGGGGCGTGGGGAGTGGCTCCTTATTTTCATCTAAAGCAGGGGTAGCCAACACGGTGCCCGCGGGCACTTAGCCGCCCGCAGGGGCAACGTGAGTCGCCCGCGGGCACTTAGCCGCCCGCAGGGGCAACGTGAGTCGCCCGCGGGACATGTTCTAAAAATAGCTCGCCAAGCAAGTCCATGTATAAAATCCACAAAACTAAAAATTAATATCGACCAATCACGTTCTTGCTTGATTTGCGGGTCCAGAGTTGCAGTCGGGAAGAAAAGCAATGTGGCACCTCCCTGCTGCTTTTCCTTCTGGCAGAATCTACACAACACATCAGCCCCATTGAACAGCCTAGTCGTGCCAGCCTACACAGATTCTGCCAGAAGGAAAAGCAGCAGGGAGGTGCCACATTGCTTTTCTTCNACCACGCCAAAACAGTGTGATGTTTGTAAGTTTATTAAATCAAATCAAAATCAAGTTTTATTTATATAGCACATTTATAAACATTTTTTGGTCGAGCCAAAGTGCTGTACATATAATACAAATAGCCTACAGTAAAGACACTTTACAGCAAATACAACAGCACAGATTGTTCAGAATATCAGTATGACAATACAATACCCTCTATCCTTAGACCCTCACATCGTACAAGGGAAAAACCTCCGGAGAAAACCCACAGTTTAAAGGGAAAAAATGGGAGAAACCTCAGGGAGAGCAACAGAGGAGGGATCCCTCTCCCAGGACGGACAGACAAGATAATACATTTTATAGTTTTGATATTAAATCAAAATCATTCCTTAGTGTATCAAAGTCGTAGGCCTGCTACATCCACCGGATGTTATTGAAATAGACACTGAAGGACTAAATCAGATTCTGCTTCTAAAATAACTCTGTATCTGTAATGGTTTTGAGCCTTGATAAGAGCTTGCCTGCAGGTGCTGACTTCAGGGTCGTTGCAATCCTTGTGTTTTTCTCCTGTTCTTCTAAATCATAGAAGCAGAACCACAGTGCCTTCAGGCAAGGCACTTACCCAAGGCAAGCTGCGCAGCGGGGAGCCTCAGGGTAGCAAGGTGTTCCCTGCGCTCAGACTTGGTGTGAATACTTGTGACAGCATCTATGTGAACTGTGCAGAAGACATAGTGTGCAAAACCATCACAATACAAACTGAGCCCCAAGTCTTAAACCGCAAAAATAAGGCAGTACAAATCCTGGGAAACTTTCACTGTTCCCATGGATTTGGTGTGGAATTTTTCAGCTTGAGAAAACACTTTACTTGTGGACATCATATAAAACATTTAAGTAGTATATTGTTGGCAGAAGTTCATATAAACAGTTCTTAACTTTTATATTTGTCAGACTTTTTGTATTACGTTGAATTTGAGTATCATACATGCTTTATATCATATAATTGGTACTAGAATAACAGGCCTCAAGTTTTGCATTTGCCCTTGTTCCTAGTCATGGTCTCTGTGACGGATCTTCCAACCTTCATAAATAGATGTATTTATTGAATACAGCACAACTATGTATGATTGTTATCAGAGCAAGCAGTGTGTCTGCAGAGCAACCTTCCGTCTTGAGATCTGTAGCAACTTTTTGAGACTATCCAGGAAAGTGTTTCACGACAGTTGGCTGACATCAATATATTAATGCAACTGAAGATTACGTTTATACTGAGAACATACAGAGAAAGGACATCCTGTTATGGGACACTATAAAGCAGGCTGGGGAGGTGACAAATATATAGCTCTCAGCAAAATGCTCCCATTCGCTCTTTCAGATGAGACTTTCTCGATCACTTTAGTCAATTGTGTCGGAAATGGGTGAAAAATAGTCAACACAGTTCCCAAAGGCAAAGGTAAGGTCTCAAATGCTGTGATTTGTTAAACCAGCAATCTAAAAACATGTAAACACGCAGTTAACTATCACAGCAACACAGGAAATAACTCATAAGTCGAAATTGCTCTATTTTCCCTTTAACGCTTGAAAAGTGATTTGTTTCCTGTCATTTTCTTTCATATGGATATTACATATGAGTATTTGTTTCAGTTCTACAAGCATATATATTTGCTTTCCTTAAATTATAACATACATCATCTTTACTTCTGAAGACACCAGTGGAAAAATAGCGATGTGATATATTTGCAACAAGATCATATGACAAGTTTATGACACAAGCTTCTCTCTATGTTTCTAGCAGGATATATAATTAAACCTAACTCCAGTAAGAACCTGTCACATGTCACAGAAGTAATAACCGGGAATCTTTCGGATGGGCTGTCAGACTTGGCACACTCACAGGAGACTTTGGCATGCTCACTGTGATTTTAGAAAACATTCCTTTCTGCTGGCACACATCTGTGTTTGGTTTGTCCTTTTGGGAACAGAATAATGAAACGCTGGTCAAAGACATCAGGCTGGACAGAGAGGGGATATAGGGGAAGAGGGATCCAAACTTGTTTACAGGACAAAGTTAAGTGCACAGTATTATCTTCCAGAGTAAATAGTCACAAGCTCTCAGCCAGCCATCCAAAGCATGCCAGCCAAATGTCTCCGTAAAATGTGTAATTTAATGAAAATGGACCAACATAAATCTGACTTCTCTGGTCTGAGTGGGATTCAGAGGATTACTCTTATAGTCCGTCTTAATTGTGATCCATAAGGACAAGAGCTACATTTGAAAAGGATACTGTATAATTCCCAGAGATGTAGAGATGCATTAGGAGAATCAGTCAGTGAAGACATTTTCTTTTTCTCCTGTCTTCATACTTTAGTGACTGCGCTCTAAGCAGAGCTGCATTCCCATCTGCGCCACAGACCCATGACAACAGGGCACAGGGTAACTACTGTTTGCCACTCTGTTAGGGTTTAGGAAGGGGTTATGCCTGACTACAGGTGTGTGTCAAGCTGTTAAGGCTACTTGCAGCAGGTTGTATTTGAAAAAAACATGTTTTTCTATCACCATTCAAAGGAACCTATAGCAAGTCCCATTCAAGAGCCACGGAATGACTAGAGTAAAGGGCAAGCTTTTTTATGCAGACCTTTGAACACTTCTTCATTTGTTCAGCAATTCATATACATCTGTTGTTGTGCTCATTGATGGCACACATCATTTCATATTTAGAGATTAGTTTAAGGTATTAATAGTAGGGTCAGTGTCCACAGTGCAGAGTGAGGGGAGAGTGTCAGTGACGGTAGCATTACTTACCCCCTGTGGGTGTGTACCGCTAACTGATATGTGATTTGAAGTCTGTTTTTAAAGCTTGCTTCACACAGGGGAATTAGCTCAAATGGTAGAGCGCTCGCTTAGCATGCGAGAAGTAGCGGGATCGATGCCCGCATTCTCCAATGAGATTTTTGACTCTACGTGTTTCAAGAGTAAAAGGATTTCTACAGATTATAAAATGCATTGTAAATTCAGAGTGTGTTGATTTAGCCAGGCAGTGTTGGTAAACTTTAATCTGCTCATTGTTTCATTTACACATGAGAGCATTTACAGCTTCTCAGACATGTATACATGCTTAGTAGTAGAGCTCCACTTACAGAACTCCTCATTATTTATATCAATATATATGGAATTGATGTTTAATGATAAGTAGGAGACAAAGTGAGGTGATGCAAATGTAGAGGTTGCTGAAAATCTAGTCTTAGAAGCTCCCTGTGGGTTTAGGATGCTTGGCATGTCCTCCGTTCGAGTTCACTACTTCCTCATTTCTGATCTACTGTTTACGGTCTATTAGAGACATCAAATATAACCCTGATTATCCAGCTAAAATGTTATTTTGTTTTCTTCTTTCATTCATTAATAATGGGCAACAACAAAGAGGCTGTTTTTACGAAGCTTTGGATCCAATTGAGATTTCGGTATTTCTCATGCAGCTGTAGTTATCTATATACAATCTCTATTATGCTGTTATTGCTCTCAACACATGTTTTTGAAGTAGCTGGGATGCTAGCTAGCTATGTAGATAGATGACACCTTGAATCTTAATCCAACAAACAAATTGTGGATTGCTTCCCTCACCGGGGAAAACAGCTATTTATGGGAGCACCCCAGACCAATATAAACTCCTGAACAAATCTGACCCGTGGGGGCGATCAGAAGTCTGGAACCAGGCTAACAGAATTACCTCTTTGCCGATTGCATATTAATTCAGCAGGGCGGATATTAACAAAACAAAATGACCCCTCATCACCATTACCAGAAACCAGCTAACCTGAACACAGTCAGGCGGAAAGAAGTGACACAAAAGGACCATTTAGTCAGATGATTACGCTATAAGGAAGCTAATGCAGGCTGTAGTGCTCTATGCCCTACCGTCCTGTCTCTGACTTGTTTCAGCAGAGCTGCATTCACTTCCCCTCTGCGTCTCACTAACCAGCCTGAACTGCCGTCTGTCAGTCTTTACACGTCTGATGAAATCATAATTCCAAATTCTTAAAGCGACGAGCATCAACACGTTTGTCTACAAGTCACGACAAATGATTTCCGGCAGAGTGCTCGGTATCATCATCTGAAGCCTTGTGTATGATCCGTGTCGCTATGGAAGGCACTCCTGTCCTTCTGTCCTTCTGTCCTTTTACAATTAACTGTGTTTTGGTTTGGTTCTGCCAGATAGGGATTTACTACTCGATTAATGTGCACAGCCTGCCGTCTAGTCATGTTACAAAGTCCATATTTGTACTTAAAACTTCTGCACTTCTACTGTGGAAATCATACCGTCAGGAGAAACACATCATTTCTCAGGAAAATCCAAATGTTTGTGCTGCTTGGTTTGTTACAGATAGTCTGTGCTCTCTCTTGTTTATTACCACCCTTGATTTATTTTATTTGGGTCTCACGCAACAACCAGTTGTTTTATAGTACTTGTGTGTGTTTGCGTGTGTGTGTCTGTTGAACACCAGCCTTTCCCATCATCCATGTGTGTATTTCTGGTGCAGTTGAGTGGTCTAAATGTCTCCTGTGCATTGGCCACAGTGCCTGGGGATAGATGTTGTATTAGCCTGCAGCATATTAGTTTAGATAATTTGCCTAGTGTTTTTCCCCCCTACAAATTAAGACATGGGGTTGTGACATCTACAGCATGCAAATTTGTGTGTTCGTCCATGACAGCTGCATCTATCTCTGATGAATAAAATGATAATTGTTGTTGTTTACCTTGGTAAAGAGGAAGTTTATGTGCTGACGTGTGCATGCATACATAGCTCTCTGTGTGTGTGTGTGTGTGTGTGTGTGTGTGTGTGTGTGTGTGTGTGTGTGTGTGTGTGTGTGTGTGTGTGTGTGTGTGTGTGTGTGTGTGTGTGTGTGTGTCACATATTTCTTCCGTGTCTTTCTGATCTCAGTTTTTAAATTCATTACACTAACTAAAAGCAAGCATGAATTATAACAAAATAATGTCAAATTGACTTCATGTATAATGATTACTTTAAGTTCTCAAATAGTAAAATTAATTATTGGTTTTAAATCTCAACTGTGAGCCATAACTGTACACTAGCAGACTTACATATTTCCATTTATTATCTTTAGATGTTGTGCCGTTCACTAGAGCTGCAACTAATGATTATTAGTTATATGTTTTGATCATAATGTTTGATCATTAAAGTGTTCTCAAAGCTGGTAAAACTGCACTCATTTTAATGATTTTGTATGCTGCAGCAGGGTAGCTTGTGAATTTACTCCAGGTGTAACTGAAACCTTATCTAAGTGTTGATTATATTTCACATCATTAATCAGAAACTGTAAATTAACTAAACATATTCAATACATGTAGTGGAGTAAAAGTACACAATTTACTTCTGAATTGTATTGGAGTAGAAGTACAAAGTAGCATAAAATGGAAATACTCAAGTAAAGTACAAGTATCTCAAAATTGTACTTAAGTACAGTACTTGAGTAAATGTACTTACTTAGTTACTTCCCACCTCTGCAAAACATAATCTTGCGACACACAAGTATATAAAAATGTTCTTTGGCCCTACTCTTAGTTCCTAACTGTGTCAGCGTGTTGTTTCCTGCTGGGAATTGAGCCTGGATTAATCAGAGCTTGACACAATTTCAGTTGACTCATGTTAAAAGTCCTGATGATACCAAATCCACATACCAAATAATCATTAAAACGTTATACTTGATTATTACTACCATGCTTAGGTTATGTGAGGTTGTGAATCTTCAATTTGTCCTGAGTTGCTGTCACATTCTTGCTGTGGTGCTTTAAATATAATCTTACGTCACCTTAAACTTGCCTGAGGGCAGAGAGTTTTCAGCAGTGTGCAGAGTGTGGGGGAGGGGGGGTGTCAGTGTCAGTGATGGTAACGGTAACATTACCCCATGGGCGGGCCTGTGGGTGTGTACCGCTAACTGATATGTGATTTGCATTCTGTTTTTAAAGCCTGCTTCACACAGGGGAATTAGCTCAAATGGTAGAGCGCTCGCTTAGCATGCGAGAAGTAGCGGGATCGATGCCCGCATTCTCCAAGGAGATTTTTGACTGTACATGTTTCAAGAGTAAAAGGATTTCTACAGATTATAAAATGCATTGTAAATTCCGAGTGTGTTGTCTTTGCCCATTATATAAAATTATAGCTGTTGCCAAGTTGGTCAACTTTAATCTGCTCATTGTTTCATTTACACATGAGAGCATTTACAGCTTCTACCTCAGGTGTACACGTATACATGCTTAGTAGTAGAGCTCCACTTACAGAACTCCTCACTATTTATATTGATATATACATCGAATGTATGTTTAATGATAAATATGGTATCATTAAAAGCTCAACATCAGATGGGATTTTCATCTCAAGGTAGTTTAACTGTAACAGCTTTCAGAATTATTGTTACAGAAGCAGAAAACAGGTATTTTTTCCACATAACAAGTTTAAGGAGAAGAGTTACGGACAAGTTCTCAGGAAAAATACCTGCCAAGAATAATACGACTTTATGGGCAGTGAGTCGTAGAGATAACTCAGATGACTGCGTCACACCCATAATGACAGTCAAATGAATTCCTGCGAAAGAGTGGGTTAGCAATGTCTTAATTACTCTTAGTGTCCTGATGCAGTCGACATGTGGCTCAAAATGACTTCATTACATAACTTTCATTTTTATTTCATGGGAATCTCTAAAAGCAGCAACCTGTTCACCAAAAACCTTTGTGTCATTTATTATTGGTCAATCTTTGATTTATTTTTAGAATAGCACATAAAAAACCCCACTAAATTAACTTTGTGAAATGAGTGGTTGGGATTTCCAAATGAATCTTTTCCCTGTGGGTTTGTCTGTCCTTTTAATGTGTTTATCTATTATGCCGCTATTAAATTGATGTAAATACCCATTAGGAAATGGATACGGCCTGGAGGGAAGCTGGAAGCACACACACACACACACACACACACACACACACACACACACACACACACACACACACACACACACACACACACACACACACACACACACACACACACACACACACACACACACAGTGCAGATAACACCTGAGGCACACCTGGGGTTGCTGTTTGCTCTCGAGAGTGGTTGAAAATTGATTACCTGACCACATCAAACACATACTCAGTCATGAAAGCTGCACACAAACAACACATTGCTGTTATTAAGTGTCAAAGGAGAATTCTGGGGTGTATCTGGTTTGTTTGAGTGAACATTTTCTTTTAACCCCATAAGGGATCATCTGTTAGGCTTATCAACTGCATCCATTTAAATCATTTTGGGATAGACAGTATTTTAAGCTAAGTTTTAAATTACATTGCACTGCATTGTGTTGCTTTTATAAAACATATTAAACTGATAAGCAAGGTGGACATTTGGGGATTATAAAGTTGACCAACTGTCACTGGAAAAGTTGTATTGGATTAATTTAACAATGTGACCCCTCGATTCCTTATTACTGCAGATTTAATGTAAACTACCCAGCTAGCTTAAGTCATTTCAAGTATACTGACAAAACACTTTCAATTATAAAGCAGATTTACTCTGAGAGTGACAGTTTGCCAACTTTATAATCCCCGAAAGTCAACAAGTGCTCCGCTCCCAGCTGTGTGCGTCCTTTTTTAGCGTCCCTGCTGCCATAGCTTTGAGCTTCGTGCAGCGTTTTGTTTATGCAGCGCTTTTAGTAAACTCCCTGGATTTCTTCTGCAAGTTAGTGAATGTTTTCTAAATGCTGTGCATGTGTTGTCAAGTTGTTGTAGGTGTTTCTCTATTTGCATGTTGGTTTTGACACATTTCCGATTTTTTTTATTTGCATCGTTTTTTAAACTGCATCACATTTCCACTAATGGAAGTGTTTTGGGCCGCTGTAGCACGTTTGCATGGTTTTACATTTCTGCTTACCGCTTCTCCCTAATTAATATCTTCCTTCAGTGATCTATGATAGATGTCCTGATGATTAGAGTTGTGTTTCATTCGGCAGATCCCAGCACTTATTCCTTGCTTTGATGTGTTGATCAATCTTCTGCTTGCTAGGGCTTGTAGGATCCACATTGCGTGTTGTCTTTCTTGTATTGTCGGTAACTTACAGGTATTACTAAGCGGAGCAGACCTGCCAGTGACCTTTTCTTTGGCACAGTAAATAATACTGAGAACCACATAGTGACACCACCTCACTAACAGGAGGAGAAGCTAGAGTGTGGATTACCGTTTCAATATCAAAGTCAGACAAAGAAGTGTTCACCTCTCCTCATCCCTGGAGGTACAGTCAGGCATAATTACTCAAATTATTATATTTTTGACCGAGTTTGATTGATGGAGTTAATCTGAAGTGCTTTGTTTTCAGAAAGCTTAAAGATTGTATTGACTTTAATGACGTTGCCGGTCTTTAAGATAGCAAGACAATTTGTCCTCAAGGCCTTTCTTTAGACAGGCTAGCAAACAAATCAAAAACTCTGAATTCAGAAATGAGTCATCAGAAGCGCAGTGCACTTTCCAAACCTTTTGATTCTTCTTTGCCTGCTCCAAGTGTTTAATGTTCTGCTCCCTCTCACTCCTCCTCTCCTTCAATCACTCTACCTGGGATTATAAAATAATGCGTCACTGACTGTTCATGCGCCCACACAGAGAGTTCACTAAAAACACAGACTTACAGACTGACGTTTTTGGGGAAAAAGACAAAGACATTTACGTTTACGTTTTGATGTGACGTACTGTGAGTCGCAGTCTAACAGGTCTATAGAATAGGAAGTGGTTTAAGCCAATCACTGATTCGCCCACATGCTGCCAAGAAGTAAACTGATGTGATTAATATTGGTTGGGGGCAGTAACTCACATTGTTTATTAATCCGGCAGCGTGTTCAGACAGTGTGTGTTGTGAGTGGGAGAGCAGACAGTCTGCAGTGGTTTTCATTTCAAAACATCTAGCTGTCCAGCTTCCACTTGTTATAAAATGATAGAAGGGTTACATTACCATAATATAATGAGCTGGCTGGCTGGGACATTTTTCTTTTTTTGGTGTGGTTTTTCTATTGATTTAGCAAGTGGTTCTACTATAGTGACCACCTTGTTACTACTTGAAATAGTGGAAAGTAATTGAGTACTCAGAAACAGTAAGGAGTAGCCTCACATTACATTTTTGTACTTATTTCTGTGCAAATAAATTACAGGATAACTGCCGTATTAGTTTTCAATATTAAGATTTTACTTTGAAAACATAAATGACCTTTCATACTAATTTAGATTACTTAATGATTTGATTGCTTCTTTATCATTTAAGTACAATAATGATTATAAGACCAGAGTTGATCCAAGAAGATGTTGATGACATAAATCAAACACATATTGATCTATTGTGCCCCCTGGTGGAGAGTTTCTCTTTTTACTAATGCCAATATATATATATATTACTTTTCAATGTAAACACGGCATGTAGAATACGTATATACAGTGTCAACATTTATGGGTTCTATTTAGTTTTTTAACCTTAGTTTAAAGGTTACCTTAAATACCATCTTGCTTCAGATGTGTTCTGATCATTAATTGAAGACCCATAAATGTTTTGAATGTATAAGAAGAGATTTAAATAAATAAGCCAGAAGAGGTTTATTGTCAGGGTTTCAAAGGAATGAGGACAGATGGGGCGGGGGATGTCTGCCAGGTGATGCATTTCATCGCTCACAGTAACAATGTTTATCTGCATTGTTATTGTAAATAAACAAATATAACTCAAATGTATCCTTCAAGTGAAATCAGTCTAAAAAAAACTGGCGTACTATAGTGAGTGCTCTAACTAATTTAGAAAATATGCTACTACTAACTAAAACAACTAACCCACTCCTCATGTCTCTCCTGCAGGATGTGAAGATGCCACATCCTGTCTACTCCTTCCCGACAGAAGCTCTGATCTCCCAAACCTTCCCTACGGATGGGTTCTCCTCCAGCGAATGGCCGACAGAGCCGTATGCAGCGGGCGACTTCCTCCCCAGCCTGAGCAACGTCAGCAGAGCCAGCATCCTCCGCTGCACCTACAAGGAGGACTTCAAACGCATCTTACTCCCCGCCGTGTACTCTTTAGTCTTTGTGCTGGGACTTCCTCTCAATGCTGCTGTCATACTGAAGATATGGAGGACGCGTCCCAATCTGTCCAAAAACAACATCTACATGGTCAACTTGGCCATAGCCGACTTCCTGTATGTGATGTCACTTCCCTTGCTGATCTACAACTACGCCAGTCATGACTACTGGCCATTTGGGGAGTTTGCGTGTAAAATGGTCAGGTTTCAGTTCTACAGGTGAGATACTTTACTTAATAAAGAGTGGCTATCTTTGTATGCAGTTTTGTGTTCATATTTGCTTTCAATTGAAATTAGAAAACTTAAAAATAAGAATGAAGCTTTAAAAGTCCCCTATTATACTGTTTTTCATCAATATATTATAGATCTCAGATATACACAAAACATGTCTCTGAAGTGTTTGGCTCCATACCAAACAGTATACCACCAAACAGATTATTGCAGCATCCCATAATCCCCTCTGTTTCAGCCCTGTTTCAGAACAGCTGATTCTCTGTCTGTTGCTTTAGATCAGGGGTCACCAACCTTTTTCAGGGTGAGGGCTACTTTAAAAGAATAAAACAAGTCGGGGGCTACTTTTACTCCTCTTTTTGTTTTTTGCAGTGTATATATTTAGCACATTTTAACGTTAATATGCTTACCTTTAACCTTTGTGTGCTGTTTGGGTCTGTGGGACCCGTTTTCAGTGTTTACTAAAAGAACATGTTTGCAATCTAATTTCTTTAACCTGCTTTATTTGGGGGTGGACAGGCCTCAGCTCCTCTAGGGGGGTCCGGGGGCGTGCTCACCCGGGAAGATGTTTTTTAAAATGTTGAAGTGAAATGCTGGTGCACTCTGGTGTATCCATAAATTCTGGTGAATTTCTGGATACAGCTTTCAACGCTCATATGAAAGGGAGCTGTATACTTTTCAATAATCCAATCATCTTTAGAATATGATCACAACCAATAACAAATCATTTAAACTGGTTTATTCTTATCTTATGTTACCTAGTTAGCATTCTTTCTTTCTATTTATGCATATTTTACTAATCACTCCCTTTTTAAACTGTTTTTTGTTTTTTTTACTGTCCTATAGTACACATTGGAATGATTTCTTAATTTATCTATATTAAATAGATAAAGGTAGATAAAGGTGTGCTCTCTCGCTCGCTCGCTCGCTCGCTCTCTCTCTCTCTCTCTCCCTCTGTCTCGGTCGCTCACAGAGGCTGTGTGCTCCTCCGTGGCGATGACGGCTTGCGTTAAAAAATAAT